GGTACCGATTCCAATAAATTTTGTCCCTTTTCTAAACAATTATTCAAGGAATTTCCTTTGGAATCTTTTGTCAATGAATCTAAAACTGGCCAAATTTTTGTTGTTATTACACCAGTTTTTATCACAGGATGATGTGGTAAATAGTGTCCCCTTTTTCTCGTCTTTCTCTACAATTTCAATAATTCCATCCCGAACCCACTCATTTAAACACATCATCATATTTTCTTAAATATCGAGATCTAATAGGTAGTTGACATTAACCATTTAGTGGCTAATTCTTTATTCATTTCTAATTCTGGATGTCCACTTTTCCATGGCAAACATACTTCATATCTTTTGTCTTCGTTTCTTTTTAATCGTTTTACAGAAAAAAATCTACCGTTTCATCAGTTATCTGCCTTGACTTTACTTGTGCAGGACATTTTATACCGATGACATCTAGGCTCCATAATTCCGTCAAATCTAAATTATTTATTAGCATGTACAATACTCTCCAAAGATTTAGTGTAGTTTCTTTGTTTACCTTGAAGCGTCCATTCAAATTTTGTTTTAATAGCTACCAAATTATTATCAATGGGCTCAATTCTCCCAGTCAATAATGTGCCAAGATAATCTTCTCCTATTAATAAACCTATTTCAGGCACATATTCTCCTGTATCACTTAAACATATATTTTTCTTTTTCAAAATTGGATAAATATCAGGATCCTCTACACGTGTAATTGCACCACATATCTTCTTTTCATCCAATACTGAAATAGTGTACTTGAAATTTGAACACAAGCTTTGTAATGTAATATTGTAGACATTGTGGGACTCTTGTTTAGTTTCATTGCCTCCCAAAAAGTCCATGACTCATCATTTCTTGATCTACAGGTTTCAATCCTAGTTTTTGTGCAATATCTTTTCGTATGAAAGATCTCTGAGCATCAGTATCAAATAATCCACGAACGATTCAGGACCTATTATCATTGATGATTTTCACCAATACAGTTAACAATAATTTTGGAGAATTTTTTGGTGACAAAAGAACTTGTGCATCCGATTCAGACTGTTTGGCTTTTTTGATTGATTTGTATTTGTACACCTAATGCTATGGTGCTTTTTCTTGCATATAATACACTTTAAATAAGCATTGCAGGTCTTAGAATTGTGTCCTGGTTTCAAGCAGACCAAACAAGCCCTCTTTTCTTTAAGGTTTTCCTTTTCGCCTCCAATGACATCTCGGCAACCTTAAAGCATTCTGAGGTATTATGAAAGGACTTATTTCAAAATAAAATATGTTTGCCATTTTTTTCAGCTCTTTGCTTTTCATTAGATACAATACAAGCTGCAGTGGGAATTTTTTTCGCTTTAAATTTTTCAAATTGATCATTTGCAAACCCTGATCGAGCAAGTTGTAACTGCTCTTCACTTTTGACTTCCAAACGAAGAAATTCTAATAAATTTCCTAGCATGTTTATCTTGTCTTTATTTTCTACACGGTTATGTGTGTGTTCCCACTCCTTGATAAGAAATTCTGGCAGAGCTGATTCTACTAAAGGATATAACATTGCTTCATATTTTTCAGGCATTACCCCTAAAGTCTCCAATGCTCGCAGCTAAGTCTGTAATTTATCATAAAGAACCCGCAAAGTAAAATTTTTGCCACTTTTCACTTGTGTTAAAACTAGATTTAAAAGTTCGCAAACATAAATTTGAATTAATAGTTCATCTTTAGCAAAACAAGAATTCAGCTGTTCAATTGCATTATAATAGTTTTCGCCAAATGGTGGAAACTTGCAACTAAATCTCTGGCCGATAAACCTTCTTCAGTTGCTTGTAAAAGATACTGAAATTTGTCGTCTGTATCAATGTTATCATCATCATGAATTTTTTTTAAATTGTCCCCAGAATCCTAGCCAGTTTTTAATATTACCATCAAAACATTTCAATTCTAACTTAGGAAGATGGAAATTTTGCTTAGTTTCATGTACTACACTGGAAATATTGCCCTTTCTTTCAGTGGTTGGTAACATTGAATCAACTTTTGTTTTCATAGCAACCCAATGATTTCGTTAGCTTTACGTTAAATCCATATCCTTAGAAAATTCGTCTTCATTAAAATTTTCCATTTCTAGCCACGTTACTTTTCATCTAACTGAAATAATCTGTCAGCTTTATCATTAAAAATATTAAATACAGATATCAAATCAATCTTACTGCTTCATCTTTTAGAACAGTTTCCACTTCTTTGAAAGAAATTCGCCGTAATTGTATTCTCATTTTAAATTATCCATAGTCCTAGTGCACGGATGCCAGTATTTTAAAGGATTCGAAAATAACTATGGATTTCATATTAACTATGGATTTAATATGAAAAAACACTTTAATTGCAGATATTTACAAAATTTAGCAGTTACAAACAACGGTAGAGCTTATTTTTAAAACATAAAACATAAACAAAGTTGGGTTGTAGCTGATATTACTCATACAGCACTGATAGGAGATATGAAAGATTTGATGAGTATTGTCCATTGTTATTCAGAAGCAAAATTTAACAGGAAAGGATCAATTGACGTACTTGCAATTTGCAGTATATCTTCCTGACATCACCTAGATGATTTTACTCGTTCCATATTATTTGCAAGATTGAAGAAGGAGAAAAATAACAAATGTTGTTAGGCAACATGACATCAGCCACATTGTTGTTTTGGAGTTTAAGATATCATTTCAAAGAAATGAAATGTATAGCAAATGTTGTGGGGGAGGTTGTGTTTGCAGCATGACGTGCAAGAAGATGGGTACATAATGCTGTTGACAAAAAGGAAACAGTGTAGCACAGATGCTGAAATAACAAATCAGTTGCTTGCTGCAAGCAAATCTGCTAAAAACCTGTAGCCAGATGCTTTCATCAAGAAAGCTTATATGCCCACCTTCGTGTTGTGTGCATTTCATTGTTTAGACATCACAGTTCTGCCCATTTGCTATGGTGTCATCAGCATTGCAGTTGGAGAAGAGACGACTGGGCATGTGTACTATTCTCAGATGAAAGGTTCTGTCTCTTGTGTGATTGTAGACGAAAACTGACGTCGCATGAGATTGCTATGGCATATAGTTCGTCAAATATGCAGAAAAGGGACCGATATCCTACATGTAGTGCCATGGTATGAGCTGAGATCATGGTCAGCAGCTGTATGTCACTCTGTGTGCTTCCAGCTGGGACTAGGGCTGGTCAATAATACATTAATGATGTCCTACTGCCTCATGTTTGCTTGTTTCATGGTGCTGTTGGTGATTAACTTGCAGTCATAGGTGACAACACAATATGTCATCGAACAGTCACTGTTTGGGAGTATCTAGAGAGTGAGGATATTCAATGCCTGTTATGACCAGCACATTCTCCAAATCTGAATCCCTTTGAAAATGTTTGGGATGTTTTCGGGAGGAATCTTGCCCTCCTTATGCCAGAATGGAATACCTGTGGATGGTAATTGCATTTTTTTTCACTTTTACATATTCAGCACAAAATGACTTTTTTTCCCTTGAACACTTTTCAAAGCCTTCTGGATTTCAGGGCATAAAAATTGTCTTTACTGTTATGTCCTAATATTCTGGTATTATTTTATTTCGCTTTGCATACAACTGCACTTACTTATTTATGTGTGTAGCTGTTTGTGTTCCCATTCTTAGCAATTGTCCACCAGTATATCTCAAAAGTGCCATTGCACAACTGCCGAATGCACGTGACATATGGAGGAACGCCATCTCTCATCCCTACAATGTCATTAACAACATTAGTGCTTAGTAACAGCTGGTTTTACTAAGTACTTGTGAGGGACCACATTTTCACACCTATGGAAGAGATCTCGTCAAAAAAGTATAGACTGAAAAAAAAAAGTGCCTCTGATCTCCTGATTACTTGCTATGAATAGAACAGTGCCTGTTGGACTTAAAGAAAGCCAAAATGAGCTTTTTACTAATTAATAAATTTGCCAATGAGTTGCTGACTTTTTGTAGGGGAGTGGATAATGACAGAATGCCAAGTAAATGTTGTAACAATTATATATAGGATCAATTATGGGGGGTAATTAAAATTGAAGATTTGAATTCATTGGCTATCTTTATAAGAGTGCTATATATAAAGCAAACATGTAAAACTAATTACTGGATTTCTGACTTATGCAGTAACTTAAGATAGACAATATAAAATTACAGTTATTCATGTAAGTTTATTTTATTAAATGGAGAATAATTAAAATATAGCTATTTTTTGTATATTTTTCTATGTGTTGCAAAAATATATACAGACAACAAAAAGGCGAATAAACATTTTCAATCGGAATAGCTTTATTTAATCCGAGTAATAATAAACCATACTGTGAAATAAGTAAATTCTCAATATTGTACAAAAATTTGGTATTATGGATCATTTAGTGTGTTAGGACACATGGGAATAAAACCTACCGAGCCTAAGAGAAAAACTCAGCATGAAAATAAAAAATTAGTTATTGCTGCCTTTGGTGTTAAATCCTCTATTTGATTGTAGCTGTATTTATTAGTTTTTTTTTTTTCAGTATCTATTCATGTATTTAATTTTCCATGAACAAATGTTTGCATGCTAATTCATCTGTTTTTCTTATTAATTTGAATTGTATTACAAATGCTAGCTGGGTATGTATATATTTTTACTTTGGTGTTTTATGCTGTATTATATTTTATTTGATTTCTTGTTCTCCATAGCGACAGTTCTTTTCGGTCAAATTTCATTTATATTCTGGTGTTCTTTTGCAGCAACTATTGCCATTGGGTAGTGCCTTTGTATGAAATTTAGTTTGTTGTTGTTGTAGATAACGCTATTTTGATCAGTAAATTGAAATATAAATTAAATTATGAAATTTTGAATTGTGTTCTTAAAAATTGACCATTTTTTGGTTGCTATTAAATATTTTTAAATGTATCATTTGTTTCAAAGTTTTTATGCTTTGTTTTATAATTTTCTCATTTTTCTTCTTTTTAAAGGTTGAGAAATTGGTTAACATATTAAAAGAAGAAGGGTATAATGTTTGGTCTTCAACTGATATTACAGAATCATATGGTAGCTTTGATGATAGCCAGCAATCTGAATATTCTCCAGTTATGGAATCATATTCGCATATCAAGTCATTTAGTAATGAAAACTTAAATATTTCAAGACAGAATTCTATATGTAATTTCAAATCTGATTGTGGCGGTATGCATTATTTTCTTCCCTGTTTTATTTTTATTGAGGTTAAAAAAAGTATTTTAAGTTCTAGTGAATAAAACCTTTAAAATATGGGTATTATTTGTGGTACACAAAACTCTCCTATTAATCTCTGTATGCTTAAAAAATAGTTAACTCTGTTTTTTGACGTAGCTGACCATTGCAGAAACCTGTAACAGTTTATGATGATACTTCGAAAAGGTATCAAAAAAGGTATATAGGTACTCCAAAAAGTATCAAGATACTCCCAAATAGTGATTGAATCAGGTTATATTTAGTGTAAAGGATATACAACCACTTGCAAGAAATATGTATTGAACAAAATGCATTAACATAATTTTTAATGGTGAAAAATTATTGTTTTTTGCACATTTGAGGAGATTAAGTATGATGAATCAAATTTTACTTTGTAGAATAATTTGAGTATTTTGATGTGTGAAATGTTTAAAAGAATTACAGTAGGCTTTCATTGTTGTCTAAAGGTGTTTTACCAAAATATGCTCAAGATCAAAGTTAGAAAAAGTTCCGTTTGATTTTTTTCCCCAATTTTTAAAACAATGCAAGGTTTTTTTCTGTCTTTGTTTTGTGATTGTTTATATTTTAATAAGCTAAAATGTTAATTCTTTTAATAAATTTGTATGTCATATTTGATGAGAAAAGTTAATTTCCCCCAAAAATAGCATTTCTGAATATAGAAGGTTTTTCTCATAAAATACATATAAAAATCACTTAAGTATTCATACAATTTTATTACTTTTAATGTATTCCTTTTTAATATCTTTCATTTAAACAATAATGCTACTTTTTATGCTTTATGTGTTAAATTGTTATTATTTCATACTTCACATGAAAGCGAAGTGAGATTATATTTTGTGATTTTACTGTTAGGTTTAAATATATTTCAGAGTGGTTTGATAGCTAAATCAGATGTAAAGTAGAGATGGGGATCAAAATTAAGTACTGGGTTTTTATTAGGTGTTGCTGGAAAATTTTCTCCATGTCCCCCATTGTACTGCAGTATTGATTTAGTATAATATTATTCATTATCAGCCTCTTGTTTTTTACCTGTGTACTTTTGTAAGATGTTTATTTCCTTACAATTTTAAAATATTATTTTTTATTGCAAAGAGCATACATATGTGGATACACTATTCCCATTGCGTTGGCCTGGTGTGAGGTAGAACTGATGTGATAAACAGAAAGCTGTTGACAATAACCATATATAAAGTATTTTACTAATAAGCTTCATTTCTGAAAACCATTTAAGTTCGTATAAAATACACTGATGTCCAAATTGACATATACAAAAATAATGATGTTCCATGACATATCTAATCAATAGAATCTATTTTTGCAGAGAATGTGTAAAAAGTAAGCCTAATTAGCATTATCTACTAATTCAGAAGTCAAACAACAAAAATCAGCGTTATATTTACAAAATTTTCACAGGACTAGTTTCGATGGTTTTACCGAACCACCATCTTGAGCTGCAAAACCGCAAATGAACAAGACAGGAAATAATGATTAGATAAGATAAGAAAGCCTGGACAAGAATAAGCAAGTGGCGCCATCTGTTGGTAAAACCAGAACTAAAACATACTTTCTTTAAAGGCCGAAGGCAAATTTGGATTGGAATTGGGATCGTTAACTAGAACAGAAAGATTTTTATGAATGTGAAATGCCCTCTAGAAAATCCAGTTCTCCAATGGAAGAGTTTTTTTGAATAATTTTGGCAGCAGAAAAACTGAAAGTGTGGTTTTTTTCGGACCAACAATGTTGAGCAACAGAAGACTTCTGTGTTTCCTTTTTTCTAACATATGCCTCATGTTCCTTGACGCGAAATTTTAAGGCTCTCTTAGTTTGGCCAATGTAAATTAAACCACACTGGCAAGGAATCCTATAAATACCCCAGGAATTCATATCCGGAATGGGGTCCTTGAGTATGGAAGTCTGAATTTTATTGATGGGAGAATAAACAACCCGAAAGTTAAATTTCTGCAAAATATGTGCAACTTTATAGCTAACTGATGGAAAGAAGGGAATGACAACAGAATTTTTATAATCTCCTAAAACAAGATTGTGCCTTTTAGTGTGTTGAGATGAGAATTTTTTAACTGCTTGATTAATAATGTTGGGTGGAAAGCCCCTGTCAATAGCTATTGCTTTTAAATACTTTAGTTCTTCATCAAGGGCTAGTTTGGAGGAGCAAACTTGAAGAGCACGGAAAACATAGGAATAAAATGAAGCTAAACTTTTGTTTAGTCGGATGACATGATTTAAAGTGTGATTTTCGGACCAACAATGCTGCGCAACAGGCAAACAGATGAAGGTTTACGGTAAACCGTAGTACTGAAGTTGGATGTGTTACGTGTGACGATCAGAATGTCGAGAAACGGAAGAGAATTGCAAGTCTCAAGTTCAAAAGGTGAACTGAATAGCAGGATCAATAGAATTCATTGTTGAAAGAACTTTATTTAAATCATCTTTATTACCTTCAAACAGAGGTAAAAGTATCGTCTACATAGCGGAACCATGCCAGGAAGTTTAAAGTTTCAAACAATTTTTGATTCATAATAATGCATGTAGATATCAGCCAACATAGGACAACATGTCAACATAGGACTGAGGGGGCTTCCCATGGCTAATCCCTCAGTTTGCTTGTAATATTTATTTTGGAAAACAAAATGTGTTTGTTTCAAACAGAGTTGAGTGAGAGAAATTAGCTCATCAATTTCGATGCAAGAGAAATGAAATTCGCGAAGTCTGGTTTCTGGACATCTTAATGCACCCTCCACTGGGACATTGGTGAATAATGATTTTACATCAAAAGAAACCATGAGTAAATTACTAGGAGAAATGTTTTTAACTTTTTTTACTAACTCTATTGAATTTTTTATGGTGTAAATGTTATTGTCTAATAGAGTTGAAAATCTAATTATTCACCAATGTCCCAGTGGAGGGTGCATTAAGATGTCTAGAAACCAGACTTCGCGAATTTCATTTCTCTTGCATCGAAACTGATGAGCTAATTTCTCTCACTCAACTCTGTTTGAAACAAACACATTTTGTTTTCCAAAATAAATATTACAAGCAAACTGAGGGATTAGCCATGGGAAGCCCCCTCAGTCCCATCCTGGCTGATATCTACATGCATTATTATGAATCAAAATTGTTTGAAACTTTAAACTTCCTGGCATGGTTCCGCTATGTAGACGATACTTTTACTCTGTTTGAAGGTAATAAAGATGATTTAAATAAAGTTCTTTCAACAATGAATTCTATTGATCCTGCTATTCAGTTCACTTTTGAACTTGAGACTTGCAATTCTCTTCCGTTTCTCGACATTCTGGTCACACGTAACACATCCAACTTCAGTACTACGGTTTACCGTAAACCTTCATCTGTTTGCCTTCCACCACAGTTTAAATCATGTCATCCGACTAAACAAAAGTTAGCTTCATTTTATTCCTATGTTTTCCGTGCTCTTCAAGTTTGCTCCTCCAAACTAGCCCTTGATGAAGAACTAAAGTATTTAAAAGCAATAGCTATTGACAGGGGCTTTCCACCCAACATTATTAATCAAGCAGTTAAAAAATTCTCATCTCAACACACTAAAAGGCACAATCTTGTTTTAGGAGATTATAAAAATTCTGTTGTCATTCCCTTCTTTCCATCAGTTAGCTATAAAGTTGCACATATTTTGCAGAAATTTAACTTTCGGGTTGTTTATTCTCCCATCAATAAAATCCGACTTCCATACTCAAGGACCCCATTCCGGATATGAATTCCTGGGGTATTTATAGGATTCCTTGCCAGTGTGGTTTTTAATTTATATTGGCCAAACTAAGAGAGCCCTTAAAATTTCGCGTCAAGGAACATGAGGCATATGTTAGAAAAAAGGAACACAGAAGTCTTCTGTTGCTCAACATTGTTGGTCCGAAAACCACACTTTCAGTTTTTCTGCTGCCAAAATTATTCAAAAAACATCTTCCATTGGAGAACTGGATTTTCTAGAGGCATTTCACATTCATAAAAATCTTTCTGTTCTAGTTAACGATCCCAATTCCAATCCAAATTTGCCTTCGGCCTTTAAAGAAATTATGTTTTAGTTCTGGTTTTACCAACAGATGGCGCCACTTGCTTATTCTTGTCCAGGCTTTCTTATCTTATCTAATCATTATTCCTGTCTTGTTCATTTGTGGTTTTGCAGCTGAAGATGGTGGTTCGGTAAAACCATCGAAACTAGTCCTGTGAAAATTTTGTAAATATAACGCTGATTTTTGTTGTTTGACTTCTGAATTAGTATTTATTCGGCGTGTTATTGTGTCTTAATTAGCATTATCTAGTCAAAAGTGATCAAATGGAAACCATTTGATATAAAAATAAAATCGTACTTTTGATATACAAATCAAAGTGTGTTGTCATCTGACAATGAATCAAGAGTTTGTGCAAAGTGAATATCTGAGTGAATTTCTGAAATACAGCATTTAATTTCAGTGTGTAAAAACTCAAAAAGGTTTGTTATGGCTCCAAAGTATCATTTGGAAGAATCTGTGAAGTGTTGAATCATTGGCCAATTTAGAAGCAGGGCAGAGAATCATTGAAATAGTAAGATGTGAGAATATTTCAAGACTGGCAGTTTTGGTATGTAAACAATATCAGAACTCTTGTAAGGTCGTAAATGAATAATAATATCTTCTCAGGATCAATATCTAGGAGTAAATGAATAATTGAGATAAACCGCAAAAGAGGGATTACTTTAATTGGTGCAACGAACGGAAATGAACACCAGTGGTCCCATGTTCTCTTTGCTGATGAGTCAAGGTTTTGTTTAACATCTGATCTAAAGTTGTTCACATCAGGAGAGAGTCAGGCATGCAAAATCTTCCTTTGAACATCGTGGCACATACCCATTTTGGTAATGCAAATTTCTTACATGGGGAGGAATAATGACCAATGGAAGTCTGCCTCTACGTAGTTTCAACAGCGGATCGATGACCAGCCAGAGATATTAGAATGAGGTCTTGGAACGTTATGAAAATTTTGCTAAGGAGTCTTTTGGTCTGACTTTTATTTATAAATGATAATGCTCATCCTCTTCGAACGAAGCTTATTAACGAATTCACTGAAAGTTAAGACATTGAGTGAATACTATGGCCAGCAAAATCTCCTGATCTGAACCCAGTAAGGAACTTATGAGACTACTTTGGAAAAGAAATTGCATGCTGACATCTTTCTTCAAGAGATATAAATGGCTTGAAGACCACATTGATGGAAGAATTGAACTTAATTTCCTAAACTGTGGTTAACAATTTTATTACCAGCAGGAGATCATGTTCCTTATTAAATTCATATGCCCTAATTTATTTTTGAATTATTCCTATGTTTTAAACTTTCCTTGTAATGCATTATTACCATTTCTGTTTCATGCTACAGTTTTATATCATATGCAGTGCTCTTTAAAACTTTTCCTTTTATTTATGTGTTATTGTATCATTCCACATAAATTCATAGAATTAAAGTTTTGAGTTTCTGTATCATTCCACACAAATTCATAGAATTAAAATTCTGAGTTTCTGTATCATTCCACACAAATTTATAAAATTACAGTTCTGATTTGAGAAATCTATTTCATACATGTAAAGATAATTTTGGACATGAATGTAATTAAAGTTACACAATTAAGTTAAGACATTAGCACTGAACACACATGAACATGTTAAGCTTAATGTCCACCAAGTATATATAGTGATAAGTGTAACTCTTATGACGTACATTTTGAAATTGTCGCTTCTATATGTATTTTCAGTTCTCAACAGGAAACCGACTTCCTGAAATCAGTTATTGAAATATCCTTTTTTCCTCATAAAATAATAATATCCCTTCTTGTCAGATTTTTACTTCTAAATTTGCTTTTTTAAACCCTTTGCGCCGGGTAGCGCAAACGCATGCTTATCGCGGAGGCCGGCAGTGTCTTACGCGAGCGTCTGTTTAGGGCCGGGGGCTTTTTTGCCATTAAGACTAAATCCATGAAATTTCCGAAGTATAAAAGCATTGTTTAATAATGCTCTATAGAGTATTTAAATGGCTTATGCTTATAGATATTTTATATGTACTTTAATTACCTTATTTCTTGTTTAAATGCATATTTTACACATTTTATTTTCATTACTCACCATTTTATGACTTTTAACATTATACATCTGAAAACTAAATATATTACTTAAAATTCTCGTTTCGTATGAAAAATTTGTAAACGGGGATCTACACACAGTCCTACGTTACATTCCTTGCACTCTTAATAACTCATTTGCAGTTTTGGAGGATTTTTCCGGGAATGTGAACAAACGAAGCATTGTCGTCTCATTTTCTTATCAGTTTCTTCCAAACAAAGTTTTGGAAAATGTCTTTCAGTTAATCTGAGCGGATTTAATGATTCTGCTGATCTTAGTGTGATATATGTAGAATCAATATCTGAAATATTTTGCATCATTTCTGCTATTTCATGCTCTGTTAAACATTTTCGATGCTTCGATATTGCAACGGTAAAAACAGAAAGAATTCACGTCTAATAAGATCTAATTATTTTCTAAAAACTGAACTGCAAACCGAAATACCCAACTCTTTAGCGAAAATAAAACTTCTCTACTTACAATAAACAACTACCACATGCGAATTTAAAGAGACGTCAAATCACGCCATTCGTAAACATTTATTTTCCCTTTTGTTTACATAATCAAAAACACGTGTATGTGAGTCATGCTTCTCTCATTTCAAGTAGAAAGTCTAAATGTGCATGTATCTGAAACCATGTGGACATACAATGCCATCTTGTGGCAGAATTATAGTTTTTAAAACGTTCCAGGACACTGGCACAAATACATGACAGTCAGGGCTGAACGGGAAAACGCTCTGGCACGCTTGCGTGTCGGCCGGGAAGTGAGTGTGTTCATTGCTGGCACGTAGATGTGACAGTCGGCGCGAAGGGGTTAAACACACTAATGTGTAGAAAAATCAATATATGTGTGCTGTTATAATTTTTTAAACATACTTTGTCTAAAATTGATATGTTATCATATTTTTGATAAATTTTATTCATAAACAGAAGAGCAAAATAGAAATTTATCCTTGAATTATTCTTGAATTGCAATGTCGTCACTGGAAAATGTTTTGTAGAAATACCAAAATATCTTTCATTTAAAATTTTTTTTCATTCTAGATTTTTTTAAATTCAAAATAAAGCCTCTGGGTAAAAATACAATGGGTTGTGGAAATTTGCTGTTAGTTATTTCTTTCACTTTTTTATTAATACTTTGACTGCCGCATCACCCGTATTCGGGTGACGGCAAAAATTCTGATTAGGCCGCATCATCTGCATTTGGATGACTGTTCTTTGAGTTCTTACGAGGTGAAGTAGATATTTGAAAAAATAATTGTTGAAAGAAAGAAATGAAAATTATTGTTGCTGATAGCTAAATTCATTCCATTCACTAAACTGAATTCTGCTTTCTTTGGTATCAACTTTTTTTCTTCTTAAACAGCCAGTTCTTGTAAAATATGATCAGTAGTATCTGCATTACATTTATTATCACTGCATTTTTATTCTAATCAGAATCTGAAGATGTAATTTTGTTTATAATTATTTTTCTGAAAAACCTTGACTGTTCCTCATCACTACTTTTCGAATTTTTTTCGAATTTCAAAGTCTCACAACAGGTCTGATCTTCACTGCTATATGATTCAATAAACAACTGATACATGTGTTTGACACTTGTGGCCTAAGGGAGATTTTCTTAAACTCGCATGGTGGTCAACATGCTAAACATTAAAAGGCAGAATGGGGATGTTATGACATTTGTAAACTATCATTAAACGTAAAATCAAACATTTAGGACAACTGAATACCAGTATTGCACTTTTATGATAAATTGCAATTCTGCAAGTGAAAAATGGTTTATATGTGATTCAAACGTAAATGCAGGAAGAAAAATATTTCTTTCCTAAAGATGATAAACCTCATGTTAGCAGCTCATATGGTCAAGTTCAGAATGAAATCTGTACTAAGATCTGTTGGGCTGAGATGTCAGTGCACATAATTGCTGATAAAATGTGTGCTTTCTTTCATCCAGTTTCATCTTCAAGTCACTCTTCAAATACAGCTGTATATTGCAGTCAAACCTTTTGTGTTATTCCTTTCAACTCTATAAAATATTTTATATCTCTACACATAGATTATCCTTCCTAATTCTCTAAACCAAGCCACTTCCAAGCCTTAAAACTAGTTCATGTATATTCATTTAGTAAACTGAAAATAATACAAGCTCACCTGATTAGCATGATTAATACTAGCCAGATGTTACTTAGCTAAGCGATTCTCCATACTTTATAAACTGCTGACCAATGGGGAGTGGTTAGACTGCTGAACACCAGTAAATTGACATGGATTCAAATCCCAGTGAATGGGAGTTTGAGGTGGTTTTGCTTATGAATATTAAGTCAGTTTTCCTTATGAAGTCCTTCATAAAGACATCCATCCTATAGGCAGATAGTATTCATGAGTTTTTCTGTATTCCAAATAATCCTAATGTGTGTTTTGCATATTTTCCCATTTTTATGCAAAAATACATGCATTTTCTTACTATTTTACAAAGGCGCTGATGGATTAGGTTTAACTTTATTATTTTAAATTGGAATTTCCTGAAGAAAATAAATTTGTTGCTGAAAAAATTATTTTTGTCCCTCCGAAGTTCAGATCTTTATTGGTTTAGCACTATAAATAAGGTTAGTTTTTCTTATGATCCTTGACTATCTAGAATTTTTCTAGTTTGATTTTTAATATTTATAATACATATTAAATGTGCTTTTTGTGTTGTGCATTGACAAATAACTGAAGTTATAATATCAGTAAATACTTCTGAGGAAAAACATAGATGAATTTTAGTTTTTGTATGATTTTTCTATCTTGACACTTTTATTGCCAATCATTTTATTAAAGGACTGCAGCATATCATACATAGAGCACATAAAATATGTTAATCAAATATGTTTTTGATCAACAGTAGGCTTTAATAATTTTTCATGGAATCTAAAATAACCTGCAAACTATCAACTGTGCTCAGTGTTAGCTCTTGTGATCCCATTATAATTCAGGTATTAAATGCAGTTTATAATTATGGTGCATTAATTTGTTTGCAGTTAGTGTATATAAAATTATGTTAATTACAAATTTCATGGTTCTGATTTCCTCTCTATGTGTAGTTTCATTAATAGAATCTAAATCTGCATGCAAAGAGAAAGAATAATAATTTAATATTATGAATTTTTTTTTTTTTTTTTTTTTTTTTTTTTTTTTTTTTTGTATGTGTGTGTGTGTGTGAAATTTGTTGTCAACAAAATTGTTTTCATATTATGGAAAAATTTTCAGGGGATGATAGCTTGCAATGCAGTCAGTCTGAATTCAAAAGAAATGTTCAAGCGGCAAAATTGGTGATTTTAATAATTTCAGAGACGTACAACAAATGCCGTTTGTGTTTGCAACAAGTAAGTACAGAATTTTGATTCTGAAGTAATAAACCTTATTTATTCATTGACAATTTTATTCAATTAAAATCATTTTAGATAAATTTTACAATGAACTGTTGCTAGTTGTGTTTGTGTAACATGTTGTAGTCATTAATTGCCTTTAGTTATTCAAAGAAAATGTGACAAGGAAGGTAGATGAAATCTTAAATCCTTGATTAAAACTGGAACTGAAGCTAGTTGAAAAGCCTGAATTTAAGGACATTGGAGATTACAAAGGAAACTGATTGCTTTATATATATATATATATATACCCATATTAAAAATCAAAAGAATATGCACATTATGTTAAATTTCTGAAAAACTAGTCGACAAAGTTTCATGAAATTTGGTATGAATATATATAACCATGCAAGAGATATACCATTCAAAAGTCATTTTATTTTCGCATGATTATCAGTGAAGCTCATAGTTCTGGAATATCCAAAATCCATGTTGTGATATAGAACTGAAAATGACTGTAATATGGGGTATGGTACTCTCTCATAACCAGACAGATCATGCAGTATGACGGCATATGGGACAGAAGGCAGTTTGAGAAATTCCTATGGTAGTGGTTCTAACTCAGTAAGGACTGCAGTAAGGAATTTTCAACACCAGAGTGGTTCTTGAAGATGGGTAGATGAAATTGCCCTCCCAAGAGTGTCCCTATCCTTACTTTCCAGGTAATCATCAACCAACTGAGGTGTGCTGAGAATCAGTATCTCTGCCAGTGATTCATTTTCTTGTTCCTTTTTTATGCTGTAAAGTACTTTGTATGAATATAATAAATACAGTTTATTACTATTAATTTTCCTTAAACTGATATTTCATCGTTAAATCTTGTAATATAGTTTAGTTTTGCATAGGATCTTCCCCACCCCCTCTCACTGTAAACTAGTTCTATAAATTGAACTGTTATTTGCAATTAAAAATAATTGTAATTGTTTCCCATGGTTGAGTAATGTTGATTCTCTCTTTAAATACTGAATTTCTCAGATTTTGAATTACAGTTAAATCTCATTTTTATTTTAAGGTTATGCAGTTGTGTATATATGAAATTAGAGAGGTGCTTATTTTTTTTCTTAAAATGTGCTTGAAAAGTGCTTATAGGTGCTTATTTTTGTAACTAAAATGTGGCTATAAACCCTGTCTAAGGGTTAAATGGCTTTAAATTTGGCAACCTAATCAACATGTTGGCGATTTTATGATAAATTTCTGTACAAAATCTTTTAATTTGGAGATTTGAGAATTTTTTGTTGATTTTTTAACACATTATAACATTGATAAATTTCACTAAAATAATAGTAATTAATATATTAAAATTATTTTGGAAACAATATTAAAATTTTTAATTTTCCTTGTCATATCATAAAATGACATTACTTTCCATTTTGGTGACTTGTAATTTTCCATTTTACTTTCCATTTTTGCTATTACAATCCGAAAATAAACACTAGAAATAAATGCTGTTAAGCTCAATTTATGAAACAATTCTTAGCAAATGCAAAATAGCTATGTAACTGTTTTTAAATGACTTCCTTTTTTTTCTTTTTGTATTTTTTCATGGTTAGCATTTTCCCCCTGTAATTCTCTCAGATGATACAAATTTCTCAGAATATGCATCAGTTTTCTCTATAAAATTCATTTTACACTTTTTTCTCTCATTTATTTTAAATATTTCTGGCTTTCTGTTGTTACAGAATTGGCAGGGGTAAATTTTCTTTCAGATTTTAGAAATTTCACCTTGTGAAGTTGAGAAGGATTTGAAGGCAAGATTTATAGGCCTACAATTCTAGAAGATTCCAGAAAAGTGTGACATAATGAAAAATGTCTTCATGGTACTAACACATAATAGATGTATTTTACAAGAAAATTTTGACAAATTTCTCACTTTTTGGAGAATTTTTGGAAAAACAATAAAATTTGGAAATATTTGATTGTTTTATTACTGATACTAGAAATCTTTCGCTTAACATGTTTCCATTTATTTCTCTTCTTTAAACTAAATACAAACATGAGAAATATATAAAAAAAAATGCTTCTAATCTTATCACTTGGACAAGCATCTATACAAAAGGATTTTTCTATTAATAAAGAAATTGAAAATCAGATTGGAAAATGCCTGATGTAATCTCTGTGGGTTCTAAGTGCTGCTGCTTAGTGCCTCCCTAAATTCTGCTTCCAGTGAGCATTAGGCTTTTTTCCACCTGATGTAATCTCTGTGGGTCCTAAGTTTTGCTGCCTAGTGCCTCCCTAAATTCTGCTCTCAGTGTCTGCCTTAAATTCTAAAAATTTTGCCATTTCTAGATTTTGTTGCTCTGTGCATCACTTTCTAAAAATTCTGTCACACTGGTTCTGTAACCGGCCCTGATTGTATATCATTTCATTTTTATTCTTAAAGTTCATGCTGCTGAAGAAATAAAGTTAGCAGCTTCTATATGTTCTAAATACATATAGTTTTTAGAATAACATAAATCTTAAATTAAATCCAAAAATTCTAAAATGAAGAAATATATTGAGGAAAGAAACTGAATACATAAAGAGAAAGAAAATTATTGTTCAAAGATATGTACAGATATTATGTAAATTAACTAGTTCTTTCTATTTTCAGCCTTTGCTATAACTTCTCCTTTCCAGTTCCTCACCAGAATGCAAATTGATTAGATGTTATTTAAACTGAGGTTTTTGGATTGTAAGACAGAGTGTGTTTCTGGCCTCCGCTTGCATGCTCCATTAGTTCTTCAGCTCTGATAAATTGTAATTATTCGGCTTTGCATTATCACTGCTGACATTTGAATTTATATTACTACAATAGAGTTACTGAACCAACTTATAAATTGAGTAGTCTTTGATTCATATTTTAAATTTGGATTTAACTTTTCCCTTTAAGTTACATAACCATGAACTGTGGCTGATTTTGTTAGCATAATAATGTGCTTTTATTTTCTAAGTTCTTTTCAAATAATGAGGTCTATTTAAACCTTTATCCTAGTTTGTAGTTAATTTCAGACATGGTGATAATTTCCTTCACGTCTGTTTTGGACAACTTAACTAACCAGATCAAGTGAAACCTCATAGGTTTATTGTCAAGACATTGACAAGTTAGGAGATGAAGTAGAAACTAGTGGGAACATTGGTTTGCATATTGAAAGAAATTTATTATTGCTAAAAAATGATGCTTAAAGAGATGAAAATTTATATGTATCAGTTAAAAAGATGCATAAATATTATGTAGTGTGTTGTGTTTTCAAAACATAAATGTTTTGTAACTTTTTGGTTTGTGTATTGAAACAAATTTATTATTGCTAAAAAAGATGCTTAAAAGAGAAGAAAAAAATTATGTAGTCTGTTTTGTTTACAAAAACATAAATGTTTTGTAACTTTAATTGTATAACCTAATATTGTTTAAGAATCAACTACATGTGTTTTAAACAGTTAAATATTATTTTAATAATACTTTTTTAACAATTATTTAAAAAAAATTTAATAGTGACCATGTAAATCTATAATGTCTAATGGTATCTAGCTACGTAATTTAAGTATTTGTAACTAATTGCTCACCCTTAAAGTTATCTCTCCATGTTAAAGCGAGTTATTGTCTTTCATTAATCCTTACTGCCATCTTAAGATGCAGTACAAAAATGTACAAATTAATGTAAAATTTATTCCTTAAAATATATTAACTGGGTTACAATACTAGAAACTCTAGACAATGCTACGACACTAACTGTGTCAGACAGGCAAAGCCTAACTAACTTTCAAAACTTCCCAACAATGCCAACATCAGGCATTCACATCTGTTCTGATCAGCAGGTCTCTCACTAAGTATGTAGCAGCTGTGGCACAGCCAGTCTTCTGTTACAGATCATGCTGGTTATGATTTTACTTCTCATTTAACATATGCCGTTTGATTAAAATCTGCCCACTATTTATTAAATAATAATACTATCAATTTATTAAATATATTATGCTGAATTATTACTATTTATTAAATACTGAATAAGCGCATGACAAGATGAGACACAAAAGAAAAAAAGCAACATATCGCTAATGGTTTCTGAAACTTAAATAAACTGTCACTAATCTTCTTTAAAATATGTTCAACTATTATAAGTGTAAAATATTTGTTATTTGATAACCTTTACAAAATTGATGTTATTGTCAAATTTCTTTTATAATTAATTTATTAAATTATGTGCAATATAATACATCCTCTTACGGATCTGTTTTATTCTTAGAATGGTATTACAAAAGTGAAGTTCAGGCATAGATGATATCTTTAATTGAATTATTCAGTTCCATTTGCTGATAGGTCCTTAAAAGCACTTAGTTTCGGTATGAAAAACTATGTACAAACCCTGATGAAAAAATCAAGTATGATCAGTGGGATGTTTGTGCTTGATGGTTCAGAGCCAGTTTCTCAACATTTGATTCAATATTATGGAGTCAACCTCTCTATTTTGTAATTAGATCAGTCAGCACCGATTCCTTGCCTTACATGGTAGGAGGAAAAAAAAAGCAATTTAAAGTTTCTTTTGTTGATAGTCCACAATGTTGGGTAGAAGCAAACTGGTGTTATTTTGAAGCCAAAATTCTGTGAGATGATCATCATTCTGGAAGATGGCTTTCAAAATTTCATTAGTTGAAATTTCAACCAGTTCCTCGGGAAGTTGAACCTCTGCTGTCTCAATACTCATAAAAGGGCTCATGACCCATTGAGTGACTTTCAGGGAGTCCACAAAATGCTCAGGAAAGTCATTGCGCAAAGACTAGAGGTGTTGACAGCAAACTTGGGTTTCATTGAATTGGATTTCATTGCTCTTATGCAGATCTGACAAGATTGGAAACTGGCTGCACTCATTGCGACTAAAATTCTGCTTCCACAAAGTGCGTTTTTTTAGGAAGGCAAAAAGTAACAGATTTTGTTGTGATCAAATTGAGTTCTTGAAGCTGCAGTTTAATTCCAGTAAATTTTGTGA